GTAGAACTATTGACAAACCACAACAAGAAACAACGCGTCTGGCAATGTCTTGATGATGGAATTGAAATTTGTCTCAATAAAATTACAGTTACTTATCCAGTTAATATCATTTAACTACTAATACTTATGTAACCTTTCTTTTATGTTTTTAATACATGTTGAGGTATAGTTTACACAGTGCTTTATTTAATTCATGTTTATTGTAATAAGAAGTTCAAACATTATGTGTAGTAGTAAATTATTTTGTTTGTCTTTAACGTTCGATAATAGTTAAATCAATGTAGCTGCAGTTTTAATCTCAGTTCACAGTTCGTGCACATCTACGTTGCCAATTAATACGTAGGACCGGTTTCAGATTTCAAACTGTTGTGCTTTTCATAAAAAATTTTTGTTCATAATCACGTTGCTTTATTCACCATGTGATTCCCTATTGCATCTAATTTTCACCCTCCAAAGTTCCGCACTTATTTCCGTTACATTCTGAAGATGAGGAGTCCAATCTATGTATGTAAAATTTGTGCTGAAATTCTTATACAACATTGCAAGCGCTGCAATTCTTATATATTCAAGGTCACCAATGTAATTTTCTGGACAATTTTCAGATGATGAAGATTGAACTCCTTATCTATTGTTATCATGGTACAGACTTGGTACAGGCATGACATTGTGGCATCGTGATGAATATAAATACAATAATTAGTACTCTAGCCCTCAAGAAGTCACTATACAGTAATCTTTATAGCACTCATGTGCGTAAAAACCAGCCATAAGTGGCAATTTGTGCCACACTTGCAAATTAATGTTAAAAAATAATATAGGTGGTTTTTATAATTGCACTATTGATGTGCAGTGTAGTGTAATTTTATTTGAATTGAGCCCAAAATACATGGACAGTGGAGGCGGCGGTGGTGTTACAGACGAATGGTGAAGATACTGTGGATAGTGAAGGTTAGAAATGAAGAGGTGTTAGAAAGAATAGGAGAACAGAGGACTCTATGGAAGTCAATAAGAAATAGGCGAGATAGGTTGGTAGGACACCTTCTCAGGCATGAAGGTCTAGTCAGAGACATATTAGAGGCAGAAACGTAGAGGTAGACCTAGATTAGATTAGATTACTCTTCTCAAATAGTTAAGGATGTGGGTTGTTCTAGTTTTCAGGAAATACTAAGATTAGCTCAGGATAGGAAAGAGTGAAGGTGCGTGTCCAACCAGTCTTAGGACTAATAACCTTATGATGATGAGCCTAAAACACACTAAGCCTGTAGTAAATATTTAAGTGTTTAGTACATGTTTTGTGATTTGTTTAATTCTATTTAAAAAGTAAATTAAGAAACAGTGTCTCACTATTTATTTATTTCATCTCTGCAGGGTATATGACACGAAATTTTGTGTGCCATATACTTCTTGGTCACAAATAAATAAAATAAAATAAAAAAATANTAAAACTTTTAGTATTAAAATTTGAAATTTCACAGTGTTTGAATAAAAATTATGAACATCAATCTATTATCAATTATATGCATGTTTATATGTTTCTTTTATTATTCAAATATTTACATAAATTTCAATGTACTTGATTTTTAACATTGTTTAGATTTCACCCATCCTAACAGCGTCTAACGCCCACAGCACACGGCCGCTGCGCGTGCGCCAGTCATGAGCATGTCGGTGACGCGAACCCATAACATTTTCCCCTGTCAAAAAGTGCCCAACGTCCCTAAAGAAGTTTTCACTTCAATAAGGGAGTATCTAGAAGTGGTTAAACTAAGGTAGGGAACCAACCAGAAGGTGGTGAAATCTGAAATAGTTTTTACATAGAAATACAACGAAAGGACATAGACCCAAAAGTACCAAAGTAACCCACCATCAAAATGTAATTAAAAAGGAGTAATAATATTAGATGTCAACTGAAACTGAAATGTTATTAGGCATTATTGGAAAGTACAGGTTTAGTGAAGTATAGAAATGTGAACAAAAGAAATCACTTTTGAGTATAGAATAGTAATTAAAGAACAAAAGGTGGGAATGTTGTTGTAAGAATGTACATATTAGCGAGTAATCAGAATTGGCAAATCCACCTGAGCACACTGAAACGGATTATTTACAAAATAAACATATATACAAAAACACCAAATTTTACATTACATAAAAGTATATACAAAATTTAACCAAATTGCAATGAAACACAATATCGCCACGGTATCCCCCTGCTAGTGATGAAGATCACGAAATTACTCGTATTGTAGGCGATCAGGAAAATGAACTATTTTCGCAAATATCGCGTCGAAGACAACGATCGCCTTCCTTTCGTTACAAAATAACTAAAAGGAAACGCAGCGACATGGTGGCATGAGAACATTGACGGATCTGCTCAGCCCGAAGCGAAAAATAGTGTGGGCTATTAAACGTTATCGTCCATACCTGGAAGACAGGCAGTTCACATTAAGGACAGATAATAGAGCGCTCCAGTGGTTATAGACAATGAAGGACGTCCGTGCTAAGTTAACTTGTTGGTCGCTTCTATTACAAGAGTTTACTTTCTTCGTGGGACACAGTCTTGGTAGGTTAAACTAGCTACCAGATGCCCTTTCGCGACAGCCAGAGTCCAGCCCACGGAACGAAGATTTCACAGATGCCTCGCGCCTTGTACCACCTGACAGTACGCATGCGACCGCCCTGACCGCCACGCAAATTGAAGTGGTCACCCTCAACGAGTAGATCAGCCAAGCCCAATCGTTGGATCTGTTGGAGCCCAACATCCAATAGTTAAAGGAACGTTAAGTTTTCCTTCAGGACCATCCCGAAAGTTGTACCCGCGACGATCAGGACTTCCTCCAAGATCATCGTGCAAAGGATAACACCCCATGGAAAAGAAAGGAGAAGATTTACGAGATCACGAGTTCTACGATAAAGCTGGACATCCGGGCATTCAAGAAACGACTCGCCGAATTCGACGTTACTACGATTGGCCTTCTTTGAATCGAGATGTCTCTGACTATGTCCATCGCTGCCACATATGCCTATGCACCAAGAAACATCGCGTCCCTCCCGCTTTCATGCGCCCCCACCAACCTGAAAACCGTGGAATATCGTCGTCGTAGATCTGATGGGTCCGAGGGAAAAGGTTCATCTTGGTTGTAACGGATCTCTTCAGTCGCTGGGTTGAAGCGTTCCCCATCGGTTCCGCAACTACACCGACTGTGGTCCGCCTGTTAAAGCAAGAGTGTTCTATCGGTTTGGGTTTCCTCGTGCTGACCTCATTGATAATGGTAGTCAGTTTACAAGCAGACTCTGCCTGCACAAAATGGAAGAAGCAGCACTGGATTACTACCATATATCATCCTAGAGCAAAACCCAACGGAAAGGCGGAACCAGGAAATAAAAGTAGGCCTTCACACTTATTTACAGCAAGGCAAACATAGCACTTGGGATCAACACCTGCCCAAAATTAACTACCTGCTTCCTTTAACAACCCGTTCGACAACATGCACCTCTAACAACAACAACCTCTACAGAAGGCCTATTACGAAAACTAAACTTTTATCTTTTATATTATAGTATTCAATTTTTCTGTTTTAGCTAATACTTTGTTAATTGTTGCACTAGATTTGTCTAATTTTTCCTTTTTTTATCCTTTATTCACTTATTTCATGCACTATCATTTGTTTTCTATTTCTATCTTACTTTATTTTACTATTTCGGCTTCTATTTATCACAGCGACTTGTTCTTTTTTTCTAACCCTAGGTTTTCGTGTAGGTATGCCAAACTCGTTTCCACTATTAACTTTTTAATTTTTTGTTTCTAACTCACTGCTATCCCGCATTCGGCTATTCTTTGACAATTTTACCCCACTTCATCGCTCCACTTTCAATCCCTCTATTTTCCATCCCTTCGCGCTACCCCGAGTAGGTATAAATATCGGTCCCAGCGCAATTCTCTTCTGTCTTCATTTCGTCCCTCTCAACATTCTCACCCGAACCACCACCCACCCATTCCCACGATTCCTGAAAGCAGGCTGAAGAGGGCCTTCCGCCTTACCTTTCGGCGTAGTCCGGAGGGACTGCCTGCCCACTAGCATTACTAGCTGGTGGGAATGAAACACCCAAGTTTTTAAAGTTTTTTTTAAGAAAAGGGCAGCTTTCCGACATTCCACCCACCAGCTGCAAGGAAAAGGGAGACTTTAGGGCCTATTTACTGTTTCACTTCTTCACTTAGTCACTGTAATATAATTCTCGTTTAGTTATTTGTTTTCTCTCAATTTACGTTAGTTTATTGTCGTTCTTAATGCTTTTGGTTAATTTTTGTTCTTGTTTTGGTCTGATCGTGTTTTTTTTTGTATATATATTATCATTTTGTTTTGTATGTTTTGTGTGTACATGCTACGTGAGAAACTTGTTAAGTTTATTTTCCGATTTATGTAGTCATTCTTCAATAAAAACTTTTAAGTGAATGTCTTATTACATTTCTCATATATTGCATAAGCGCGCTGGCCTTGCTAAAGAATAAACATGGCCGTTACTAGCCGTATGGTCAAACTTTTGTTATTAAGTGGCTCTAAACTGTACTACATGTCACGACCCAACTCTACGTGTTCATAAGCCCTAATAACACGTGCTCGCCAATATGTAGAGTAGTGACATAAAAACGTCAGAAGGTTGTAGCTGTCTCAAAAATTATTTCGGGACATAGAAAAACACATCCACAAAGTCGCACTTACACGTAGATTTTGAGTTAGTAACAACTGCAAAATCTTTTTCGAAATTATCTCAAAGCATAGTTTTAGTGACTTAAGCCCTATCTGCAATGGACCCTTCCTTTTCAAATATTACAAACAGTATTAAAAAGGGCTGTTAGTATTATTAAAGTTTTCTTGGCTTTTTTGGCGGTAGGTTGGTACTCCTGTAAAGTCGCTGACCAAAAAGCGGAGAAACAAAGTTCGTCGGTCATGAATGCCTATGTTTGCTTTTCGATTTTTCGACATTCAAAAATTAACTTTCAGAATCATATATCGACTGTTTATTCGCATTTGGTTACTGAAATGAATGAAGTAATAAATAATGAGATAACATATGATGTCAACAAAGAATACAAACCAGCAAAAAAAGATTTAAATCAATTGTTGTATTATGCGAAAGAAGCTACTGAACATAATGCTTTTGTACTTGCCAGAAATTATTATTTAAAGGTATTTAGAAATGACTATTCATTTTTTATTTTTCCTTAAAAAAAATTAACTACAGTTAATGTAAATTCTAGAGGATATGTTCAAATGAAAGAAATCCCAAATGTTGGTATGATTTTGCAGTGTTCAATTTGCAAATGGATGATGAAAGACAAGCATTTGAATGCGTCCAAGAGGCATTAGGTATTAATCCTGATCATTCTTATAGGTAAGTTTAATTTTATATGGAATAATTTTTCAAAATCTTTCACAAAAAGAAATTTACAACATCTAATTATAGTTTGATGTTTTATGGATTTCTATTAAGTAAACGAGGTCTTCCTGAGCAAGCAGAAACATGTTTTTTATCTGCGATTGCCGGAAACCTAAGATGGTTAGAAGGTATTTCTTAATAGTGCCAAGTATATATGTACAAGTAAAATTAACAAGTAGATAATAAATAAATTTTAGGATGGGGTGCTGTTCATATATTTTATGTTTCTATAAGTAATCAAGAGGGGGCCGATTTTTGTCTTGAAATGGCTAAAAAGTATATAGAAAACGACACAACAGATTTTGCTGCTGATTGCGAGCAAGATTTGTCATGGACAATGTCTATTTGTCCTAACACGATATTTTTTAGAACCGCTTGCTTTTTTATAAAAATGAGGGCATACGAAGTGAGTTAAACTAAGTAATAATTCGAAATACTATGAATTTTAGGTTTAATTAAACATTATTTATATTTATTTAATTATAATTTTATTATAACAGTTTGCAGAGATAGCTCTTTCGTACGAAATAAATAAAAATTCAGGACTCTGTCACTATTATCTGGCAGTAATAACATATCTTCAGAAAAACTATGATCACTCTTTAAGTCATTTGGAAGAGACTAGGAACTCTTATGGTTCGGTAATTATGTGCCAATTTAAAATTTGTCGTATTTTTATTCATTTATTCGTTTTGATGCGAATATGTCTTCAAATTCGGTACAAAGTGGCATCCACCAAATAACATGAATACGGGCGACTTTGAAATAGTGGAAAGTGATACGGATGCTGGTAATCTCGAAACCTAAGCTTTAAGTATTTTAAAAAGCTAAATCATCGGTAATTTTTACTTAAAAGTACCGTCTTCCATCTACTTATTTTTTTTAAAGGAGATTTGTTGTAGTTTGAACTTCAGAATTTGAGTCTACAGTAAAAAATATAAAACAAAAACACATTAGAAAATGTATAGACTTGCAATAGAAACTCGTCCATGAATAATTAAACTTTCAAAGCGCGCATAAATGGAACAAATAGGTGCAGCATGCGGGCATGAGTATCGTGAGTAACGTCGTGCAAGTCTGCACGTCCAAATTTTCTGCTCTTTCCATTGCTTGGGTCAAAAATATGCATCCCTGCTAGAAATCATAAATTCTTTTTTAATATAATGAAACCAAACCAAAATGTATTATTGTCTCAAGGTAAATGATACACCTTATACATAAACTATTTACAAACATCAAGTGTCAAAAATGATTCATATAAAATAAATGGTGGGGCACTATTCTTTACATGCTGGAAGCACACACAAACCCATTTAAAGTAATAGGTACACTGTCCATGCTTCACACCCGTATAGCGCCGTGCTCCAAATATACATCTTTAAGGAATTTCTAAATTAATCGTTCGCGACCGTAGAAGTGACTTCTTTTTATTGAAGGCGACTCGACCCTGTGCTATCCCTACTACTCCTTCCGTCCTGACTTATCTGACTTATACTTATACTAGATACCTGAAATCGGTCACTTCTTCTAATTTTTCGACTCCTATCTTTATATTCGCTATTTCCTTACCTTCTCTTCCCTTGCACTGCAGTATTTTTATCTTTTATTTATTTTCATACGGTACTGTTTTGCCAATACCGCTTCCATTTTATTTAAAGCTATCATATCATCTGCAAATCTAAGCATACTAATCTTTTGTTCCTGTATATTTATCCCTACAGTTCTACTATCTTTAAAGTTGCCCACGTCTTCGACGTATAGATTAAAAAGTAGCCCTTTACATATACTATATAATGTACATATATATATATATGTATATTTGTATAAAACAGATTTCATTGGCAAATAATGAAAACACAATCCAAAATATTTGTTTGAAATGTTATTACATTTTGCCAACTGATGTGTATTCGATTTCTTATCAAAGGACTGGTCTTCTAGGAACTTACATGTTACCTACTACAATTGGCTTTGCATGTGCCCATGATCTATAGAATAGTGCACCACCATTTATTTTAGGTANTAGGTGTTTATAAAATTGTTCTACACCTTTGACTTCAGGTTTCTCGTCTAGTGACACAGTAGTTTCTTTCGGCTTTTGATAAGGTCTTGCTAAAATAGCCGATTACCTTCTCTTGGCCATCTTGTAACTGCGAAAGAACGGCTCCCATTCCCACATTGCTGGCGTCGGTGTCCAAAATGAACATTCCAATGGGTCAAGGATATATCAATACGGGGCTGTGATTAAAGCCTGCTTCAAAGTGTTAAATGCCGTTTGACAATCCGAATCCCAATGAAATACGCCGTCACTTTCGGTTAAACGTGTCAAAGGTTTAGCGATATTGGCGAATCCATAAACATAGCAACGATAATACGTGCACAATCCCAAGAAGCTTTTTATGTCGTGAACACTTATAGGCACTGGTCATTCCTTCACGGCCCTTATCTTCTCTGGATCCATGGCCATGCCCTTCGCTGATACAACATGTCCCAAGTAAGAAACTTCTTCGCGGAAAAGGTGGCACTTTTTCGAAATGAGTTTCAAATTGACCTCACGGAACCGCTGGAATGGCGCTTGCAAATTCTGTAGGTGTTCATCAAAGGTGCTTCCAATTTTTCTAAACTTTCACTGTTTTCTTCTAATTTGCTTTCCAAACTTTTCTTCATTTGCGACAATTCGTCTTCGAAAAGGAACGTTTCAGGATCATGGCCATTCTTTTTCAACGCCTCCGCGAGCCACCACTGAAGTTCCGCTTTGTTACCGCTTGTCGCTTCATCCCGTTCTTCCAATTCTATTCTTAACTCGGCTAGTTTTAATTCGTACAACTTCTGTGCCATTGTCATGTCTTTTACTCAACCCCACACCTGACACCAGTTGTAATGTTCGTGGGTTTAACAAAATTAACTTTTAGGACTGCTAACGACAAAACTATTTATTTACACTAATTATTGGGGAACTTAAAACACTATTAAATTATCACTAAACTTAGGTTATGAATTATTTTATTTATTACACTGCTGTTGATATATCACTATTCACTGCGCTATTTATTTCACTGCTATCACTATCTATTTCAGGATTCTCTTCTGCAACGGTCAATTTATTTCTTCTCCTTCTTCCTTCTGGAACCCTCTAGAAACATCTGGATCGTTTGTTTTCTCTTTGAACTGTTTAACTGCTTTCCCAGAACGCAGGTACGACTAACACATTTACAAATACGGCACACACGTTTGCCCGATCGCACACAAACACGCTCGTGCTCGCTACAATACGATCTCTAACTTCTTGTGCAGTATCCTATATCCCCTTGTATCCCATTTACACCTAGCGCCTTATTATTCTTTAAGTTTTTTAATGCTACATCAAACTATTCTTCCATTATGGGATAGCCTAGTTCATCTATCTCCACACTGTCTTCCATCTCTAATATATCTCCTAATTCATGGCCTGCATATAAGTTCTCTAAATAGTCGTTCCATTTATCTATCTTTTCCTCAATTTCTATCAAAATGACCCCTGCCTCGTTTCTTATATTATTACTACTGTACCCTCTCAAAAATTCCTTTTAATTATATTATAAACCTCATCGGTTTTACCTACTTCAAACTTTTCTTCTACTTCTTTACACATCCTATCAATCCATCTGGCTTTTCCTCATTTTCTATCAACATGACCCCTGCCTCGCTTCTTATATTATTAGTACTGTATCCTACATCTCAAAAATTCCTTTTAATTATATTATAAGCCTCATCGGTTTTACCTACTTCAAACTTTTCTTCTACTTCTTTACATATCCTATCAATCCATTGTTACTTAGCTGCCCTACACTTCCTAATTATTTCCCACTATAGCTTTATATCTTTTTTGCCCTTCTTCGTCTGTCCTGTTTTTGTATTTCCGCCTTTCGTCTATTAATCCTACAATCTAATTTATATCATATACATATCCAGGGTTTCCTACTTTCGTTTTGTTTAAGACCTAGTACCTCTGTAGCTGCTGACTTTAGACACGTTTTAATGCAGTTCCATTCTGTCTCTATGTCCCCGTCATTCGTTTCTCCAGCCGCCATTAGTATTTCGTCTGTCATTTTACCTAGCCTATCACGCGCTTCGTTACATTTTAGCTTTTCTAAGTCGAGACGTCTCCTACCTGCCCTCTTTTTCAGAATTTTGAATTTAAGATTGGTCTTCATAACTACTAAATTATGATCGCTATCTATATCTGCTCCTGGATAAC